GGCTGGGCGGGACTCGCGGTCAGAAGCCACAGACCGACGAGTGGCCGGCGGCGGCGACGCGGCCAGGCTAGAGCCCCGTGTATGATGCGATGAGAGCTGACGGCCCAAGGTCTCCCGGCATTAAGGGAAAGGCGAGGAGGAAGGTGAGGGTTATTGGAGGGATTGCGAGTCATCACTTACTCTTTGAGCATTTAAGTGATATCGAAAAGTCGAATGTGAAGGTGTTTAAGCACATCAAAAATACCCACTCGTTTTTCTGCGTTATCAAATGAAATACTTTGCTGAAATCGTCAAAGAAACAATTTCTGTCAATAAGAAACCAGTTGTAAAAAGAGATGATATAAAATTATTGAGTGCACTGCGATCGTATTTTAAATTTTGCGCGAAGTCAAAAATACTAAAAATACATTACGGTGGCCGACGGGCCTGTTGGAGCGAATAGAAATACAAGCGCACAAACGGGGCTGCGGACGATGACCATGTACTTTGGAAAAGACTTTTCGGAAGGTCGTGGGCACGCCGACATTCATTCACTAAAGTTTTGAAAGACATAATGATGGAGGTAAAGGTGGCCGCGACATCCGACGGAGGAAAAGATCTTGACACAGCGGCGGCCGGGACCTCCCTGTTCCTTAACTGTAAGGGAAAGAAATCAGGCGAGATAGGAGGAGGAAGGTTTGGTGGTGGAGGAGGAGGGAGTTGCAGGCGGCCTGTGACGGTATAGGGCGTCGCGAAAGGGAGGGGGCGGGTGGTTGAGTGTGGAGGGAGAGCAGTAGGGGGCGGCGCAGACCGCTGATCGACGAGATGGAGCAATTGAGAATTGCTGACCGAACGCTCCTGTGGCCTCCCGCTCCTCCCCTCACTCGCCCCTCCCCCGCGGCTGCCACCCCCTACCCACCCCACGCCTGCGGGACAAGGAGGAGCTGCAGCTCTTGCTTGTTCAAATAAATGCACCTGGGTGGTTGGGCCTTGTGGTTGCTCCTCGTGGAGCGGCGCCTCGTGCAGCTTGTGTCGCCCCGTACTGTGTGGGGGGCCCAGCCCAGGGCCCGGCCCAGGGCCCAGTGTGCTGCCTCACGTGTCTGGCGCGGCCCCGCCCGGGGCGAGCCGAGCCCCACCCTGCCCCTCGCCTGGCCCCCGCCCAGGCCCCGCCAGGCTGCCCCCGGGGCCTCGGGTCCAGTCTGCCGTGGTGGCCGAGGACAATCACGGGGCTGTGTGTGTGTATGTGTGTGTGTGTGTTTTATTGTCGTGGCACTCTCCGCCTTACTGCACTTCCCCGGTCTTTCTGATTGCTAAGGAATTATTAAGTTTGCTCATGCGAGCAAAACAAGTGAGATGAGGGTTGTAGGTAATGCAACCCCGGCCACTCCCCGCCCTCTTCGCAGAACGCATTTTATTACCCCCCCCCCCTTCCCCCTTGCAGGCCGTTTTGGAGGGGGTAGTTTTGTCCGAGCAGCCCCCCTCTGCTGACTGTGTTTGTTGTGATCGGTCGGCGCTGCCCGGGCGCGGGGACAGTCATAGGCATGCACGTCCGCGGGGGCGCTCCTCCCCCTGCCCCCTCGAGTCTCCTTTGGGGCTCCCTCTGGCGCCCCAAGGACCACGTTGAGGGCCCCGCTGGCAGCGGCCCCGCGCCTCGCCCCGCCACGCCCCGCCACGCCCGCTGTCCCACCCCTTTTTGCCCTGCTGCCGCCTCGCCCTGCCGGCCTGGCTGGCCCGGGTGGTCTCTTCTGTGGACGTGGCTGCCATGCAAATGTCCCCAGCGTCTGCTCACAGCAGTGGTGTGCCGACGCGTGGCGGGCCGGGCCGGGCCGACACTTGAAGGGGGGCCATATCTACCTTTCCCTCTCAATCTCCGATCGGCCCTCCCGTTCAAGGAGTACGCCGTGAGTGAGGAGGACCATCTGGCCATCCGGATAGCTGCACGCGGCAGGAAGGGCCTCTGCCTCTTTTTCCGTCACTTCATCATTTTTCTATATTTTTTCGGCAGTTTGCATGGATACCCCCTTCAGGCCGAGCTTAGCTCGCACCGTATGTATTGGCTGTTTAGATATGCTCGAAGGAGACTGGTTTGGCGGTATTCCGTGGGTTTTCGTCAACACTTTCAAAACCGGATAAAACATGGGGCGTCCTAAAACGGGTTATTAAGTGCCTAACCTTCTTCTCCACGGTGTAGAATTATTGTTTTCAATTTTTTGTACGCGCTCCGAAGGGAATGTGTGGAGGGAATCGACTATATATCCTGCAATCATGTTGCGATCCCTAAAGCAAAGCGCTGCGAAGCGCTTTTGCCCGCCAATCGAAGTCGCTGCTCTTCCTATCCGCTTGCATCCCCGCCATTGGAATTGCTTGCCGTCGTCGCACGCGGCGCGGACGGCCCGCTCCGCCCGGCCCCAGGACCCACCAGCGGCAGGGGCACCAAAACTATGCATGATTTCGTTTCGGCAGCGCTGGGCGGGCTCCGGGCGGGCCTCGGCGGCGCGGCGGCGTTCTCTGTTGTGCTGTATCGCGTTTTATTTATCCGGCTCGACTCGGCGCAGCAGAGCAGCCAGCCGCCCCCGGGGGCGGGGCGGGCCGGGGTGGAACATCCATAGCGACCCCGCGGTGGCGCGGCGCGCGAGGGGCGGCTCTGTTCAAATAACGTCTGGTAGATTTAGCTCTCGCTTGTGTTCTGTTCGGGGATTTGCCGCGTCGCGGCTCGAGTAGAGAGAGAAACAGTTTGGACGCTTGCCATAACCGAGTATTGCGTTCACAAACGGGACCCATCCCCCCACCCCCGGCCGATGCAACCTCCTCCCTCCCGAGGCTATGCCGCCCGTTGGAGAGCAGGCGATGCATGGAGGCGAATGAGGTCGTTTTTTTTATCGTCATCATCGCAATCAGGCCTCCTTACCCAGGCACAAGCGGGCGCAAGGCTGCTCCTGACCCTGGGAAACACGATTTGAAATTTTGATCGAAATTACAAGTTAAAGTTTTCACTGTTTTTTTTTTGTTTTTTTTTGTTTGTTTTTTTTGCTTACTGCGGTTTTTTTTTAACTCCTAACAATCTACTCTGCAAAATGCTTGAAAAGAATAGGTTCGTATTGCAAACTATTTTCTTTGCAGCTTGCACAGAATTTTCAAGCATCGTTATACGAACTAGTCCTTCGTAAGCCTGCAAACTATTTCTTGTCAATGCAAACACATTATTTGCAAGGACTCTGACACCTTGCAAAGAACTTCTTTCCAATACGAACTAATTCTTTGCAATACAACGCTTGCAAAATTCTTTGCAACGTTGCAAAGAATACAGTTTGCAAGCATTTTACAGTCTATTTAACTATTTTCATATATTTAAATTGACAAAAATACTGCCTATATTTGAAAAACACCAAACTAAACTATCGCAAGTTCAGAGCCAAACCTTTCTCGAGCCTAGAAATTTATGAATGAGCGTCTGAAAAAGCTCGACCTCACCTCGAAATAAATGTATGCCAGAGAATTAAGAATGCATCGCAAAGAGTGTAGTTAGCTACTTAAAAGCGAGCGAAAGGTGCGAATATGCAATGCGCGGGTCGCTGTCCGCGACTGGCCGCGCTGGGGGTTGTCTGGTAACTAATGCATGTAGCGCCCAGCCGCGCGCGCCACTTCTCTCAAGCTGTAACGCCTCTTTTAACGGCATACTTGAACTTGTTGGGGGCCGGCGGCGTGGCGTGGCTCGCCAGCCCCAGGGACCTGTAAGCAGGGACCTGTGAGGAGAGGGAGCAAGGGGGCGGCGAATGCAAACTGCGACCGCCCGTCCGCGCCAGCCCTACCCGGCTTCCACGCTCCCGCTGAAAGGACACGCGGGAAATTCAAAATTAAAGCACTTCTTATTTTTATCTCTGTCGTCGCGAGGTAGGGTTCGAGCCGGTGCAGATTTTAAGGCTGTGTTCCTCTCGAACGCCGGTTGAATGGTACCTGTCCCAGTTGCACTGATTTGTCACACGTTTTCATTTTTGTTTGTTTGAATAAGTATAGACGTCGGTCGGCAAATCCTTTCTGATGGGTATGGTGGCGGGGCCTGGGGAATATTTTTCCCCCTTCTGGTCCAGTCCCAGGCGGAGGGTCGTGGCGTGGCGTGGCGTGGCGTAGAGGAGGGGCCAGGGTCGCCGTTGCCTGGCCATTACGCGTGGGCATTACCCTCGTATTACTGCCAGGCTCACTGCCCAGGCCCAGGCCGGCCCTTCCCGGCGGGGACCCCCAGCGCCCCGCTCGCCCACCAAACTTAGCCGCGAAAAACTCGTTTTACAACACCTTGAGCCGGACCGAGCGCCCGCGGGCTGGCCGAGGCAAGGGCTGGGCGGGCGGGGAGAGGTCCTCTCTCGCAGGGTCCTTGCGGTCGTTTCGCGAGTGCTGCAGCCTGCCCTGCCGTGCTTCCCCCACAACTGTTGAGTGACATATGTGCTTCGTTTGGTTTCGCAGAGAACGCGGAGGGCGGCGTGGTGAACTCGTCCCCGCAGGCCGTGGCTCTGGCGCCGTCCCTGGCGCTGTCGGCATCCCGGGCGCAACAGACCCAGCCGGTGCACCAGACGGTGCACCAGGACGACATCGTGCTGTTCGAGGATGACGCTGGCGGCACGGCCCTCGACGTCGCCACGGTGGACGTGGCGAGCGACGTGGCCGAGGACGCCGACGAGGAGCCTGCGCCGCCGCCACCACGGCCCGCCCCCGCGCCCACCCGCTGCGTCACGCAGTACATCCGCTTCCCCGTGCGCGGCGCGGTGCGCGTGGCCGGCGGCGACCTGGTGGACGACAAGCATGACGAGGTGCTGGGCGTCGTAGCCATGGACGTGGGCCTGGGCGCGCCCGCCGTCATCCTCGGCGTCGTCCCCGCCGACGGCAAGGTCGCCAAGTCCACGACGCTCTCGCAGGCCCTCGCCCACATGAAGCCCTACCGGAAGCACACCACCGTCCACATCGCCAAGTCCGTGCCCTCGTCCACGATCACGACCACGTCCACGCCCACCCTCACGGCTCTGGGCCAGGCCATGAGGCAGGGCGCGCCGCCGCTGCTGGTGGGCTCCAAGGTCGTGTCCGCGGCCTCCCTCAGCAAGCCCACCACCAGGTCGGCCACCGGCGCGATGGCGCTGCCCGAGGACAAGCCCGCCACCACCAACCCGATCGGCACAGGTAAGGACCGTTCCTTGTCTTCCCTCGTTCCGTCGGACGCGCGGCTGCAACCCCCCATACCCCCACCCCAACCCTGCTTTCGCCCGCTTTCGGAAAGCGATCGCAGAGAGAAAGCAAATACGACTCGGGCCGGGCCAGGGCATCGAGCAGGCAACTCAATATTATCGTATATGGGCTGAGAGTAATTCGTTTCCTATGCGCCGGCACGGGCCTCCGCCCGGCCCGCGTCTCTTGGTTCGTTTACGCTGAAAAAAAAAATAGAAACAAACAACGAAAAAAGGAGCAGGCCAATCATGGAGGCTGGTTCGGATGGCGCGCTTGACTCGCGTGGCCGAAGTGCAGCAAGCGCCGCGGCAGGACACGGAAATGGCACGGATATTAACTTCCGGCTCCGCGGAGCTCCGTACGAGGAGGAAGGAACAGAGATGTCTGCCGAGCACTCACTCGGCTAGCGATCATGCAGTGCCGCTGCGCACTCGATACGTACTCCAGTAATAGCAACTTTTTGCCTGCTCACTGATACCTGAAGCCTGAAGCGTGCAACGGGCTAGAACTTGCGACAGCTGAAATCCGTATCGGACTGAAAAGTTGAATACAGTACTCAGCTCAGAAGCTTAACTCAGCTGTAGAGTTGGGAACTGTGAACACCTTGAGGTCTAACTTCCGTCTCTACCAAGTACCATAATGGTTTGCAGCTGCTGAACACCTGCACTTTTTTTCGACACGGCATTTACAACCCCGCAAGCGCTTGCCAACGGTAGCGCACTTCAGATATCATCAGTATCAGTGCAAGCGGGGCGGCGGTGGAAACACGGTTAGTCTGTCTCTCTCGCTCTTCTCTCTCTCCGCCTGATGTCCTTTATTTTATTCCCCGGGGGACGCGGCGGGCCGGCGGCGGGGGCAGCGAAGGGCAGCGCGTGTCCGCTCACAAATCACTTGGCTGCTCGCACGCCCCTCGCCCCCCTCCAACCCTTCCGCTCCCAACCCCCGCCCCTTCATATTGCAGGGCAAAACGCACAACAAAACCACCGCTAAATCCCAATAAAAGTTTTTCTCCGGTTCCTGCACGGCCTGCTGTGCTGTGTGTGGGGCCTCGGCTGTGTATAGGCCAGACCATATGTGTGTCTGTGCGACTGTTTCTCTCTGTGTCTGTGTGTGTCTGTGTGTGTTGTACACTGGCAGAGGACGATTCGGAGATGGCGTCTCGAAGCCCAAGGGCAAAGCCCAAGCAAAGCCGGGGGCGGCGCGGCGGCGGCGGCGGCCCAGCCCGGAAGTAGCGGTGGCGACCGGCTCCGGAAGGAGGAGAGAAGTTTTACTTCCGCATTTGGCCCCGCCACCCGCCGCCGTCCGCGCCGCCGCCTTTGCTCCGTTGTTGTCGGCGTGGCTTTCTGTCGCGCTTCGAATGACAGTCGATAGGGACGGACGCCACGGATCACTAGCATAAGCGGTCTTATGGGCAAGTTAATGGGAGGGGGAAGGGTGGGGGCCTCAATAGGAAGGGGATCACTGCGATGCGAAGACACTAATACTTAGGTACAAGATCAACGCCGCGATCTCTCTCCCTCTCTCTTTCTTTCTCTCTCGCTCACACACACAGACGCACACACCCACGCCACGCACACGGTGCCACACACACAGTCACATATACGCCACTGCCGAGCTGCAATCTCGCTGTCTGCCGTAGTGATTCCGACCGACGGGATGACAAATCGGGTTATTATGTTCCATACGTTGAGACTGTGGCGCGGGGCGGGGCGGAGCGTGGCGGGGCAGGGCGGGGCCGACGGTGTGCAACGCTCTGTGACTGGCCCTCCACGCTCCGCCACGCCCTTGTTATTGATCGTGTTATTATACACCAGCGACATCCGGCTCCGGCGCGGGAATCTTTGCCCCATCCGAACCTCCCCTCTCCTCCACAAACCCCGACCTCTCCCCCCTCCCCCCAGCCCCCCACTCCCCGGAGCACGCGGGGAGGCGACATATTGGGAGAAAAACGCACGTTAATCCGGCAATTTTTCGCGCCAGCAGGTTGGCTCCGGCCTCCCGGCGTCGGCGGGCAGCGGCGTAGCTTCAGAGGGAGAGAGAGAGATGCAAGACCCCCTATCTTTATCCCTCTCGCTTCTCGTAGCACCTGACGGAAGGCGGGCCCGGCCTACCGCACGACTTGGAGAAATGGGGACCCGATGTGTCACCGAGACTTTTCTCCGAGTCTGTGTTTAGACACGTATCTCGCTCTCTCGCTCTTCCTCTCCTTTTGCCCTCCCCCTTCTCTACCTCTCTTTGTCGCGCCCCTTGACAAAGACGGAGCGAATAGTTGCGGTGTGCGTAATGCCACAAGCTTTAATCAAGCCCCCGGCCTAGAACGGCTAAGCCAGGCCTAAAGCCAACGCCTTTTTTTTCTCAACTTTTTACAAATTTTGTCCTTTTTTTCCTTTCCTTCATTCCCCCCCCCCTTTTTCCCCGTGAATTGTAGAGCGCTGGAGGGGCCACCTCCCCGCCACCCAACACGATAACCACCACTCTATGGTAGCGGCGTGTGTGTGTGTGTGCGAGTGAGAGAGAGAGAGTGTGAGTAGCGCTGATCTCGATAAGGGCGGCATCTAATATTTATTCTGTGATCTGCGAGCCGGCTGAGCCGGTGTGGTACAAGGGCTGCTGGGTACACGGCCTCCCTATCCGCTAACACTCTCTGTCTCTCTCGCTCTACCCACCCCTTCTATCCCCCACTCTCTATCTCTCTCTCTCACACACACACACAGCCTCACAGCGACGGTGCGATGCGCATCTCCCCAACTAAACAGCGTGGCGGCGGGCCTGCAAAACAGTAAAGTGGCCTGCTCCCGCCGCCCGCGCCGTGCCCCGCCCCGCCCCTCCCCTCGTGCCTCACGGCCCCCGGCGGGTGTGTTTCGCAGGGCCAGCCCCGTCCGGACACCCGCCGAAGCCCCTAAAGAGCAGTAAAACGCCTGCCGGTGGGTGGATGTCGTGGCCGCTGGCGCTGTTGAGCTTCTCCAGGTGATGGGATTCGGTCGGTTTGATGTGGAACACAGTCGCGGGGGGAAAGGTGTGCTTACCCCGACTTCTGGAATGGATGTTTGGCCGGATTCAACGCCTATGCCTACACTAGACGCAAGTGTGTGAATATCGCACACTTGTAGGTGTGCGATTATCCATTCGTATGCTTAATGGGGTTAAAGTGTGAATTTTTCCTAGAAAACCTACAAGTGAGGGACGCATTCACGCACTTGCGTTTCGAGTGCAGTCTCCGTTCCGCTCCGCAGCGCGGGGGTCATCTGCCATGTTACTGAATGCTTTGCGCCAGGGGCTGGTCGTGGCGCTCTCTGTCTCTCACTCCTTTTCTCAACCTCTCTGCTCCACTCTCTCACCACCCTTTCTCTTCTACCTCCGCGCGACTGCTGGACAAGACGGGGCCGTCAGCCCCCCACCACCATCCCTTCAAGTCACCCCCCTCCCCTCTCCCACCCCAGCAGCCCATTACCAATGTTTTTCAAAACGAAG